AGGCGGCCGGTCATGGTGCTGGCCACTCTCTCCCTCGTGTGCTGTGCCGGTCTTCATAGGTGCTCCCTTCAGTCTGTCAATGTTGGCTACATGGGGAGTGGAGAGCGGTGGCGCAGTGGTTATCTACGAACCCAGTAATCTGAGTTAGATTACCGATCACGACCAAAATTTAGTGGCCAGTGATTTATAAACAGGGTTTGGCCCCCCACTAGGTCAACTTAACCTGACATTATTACCTGGCCGGGCGTGGTTCTGACCACACCACTGCCTCGTACGCCGCTCCGTCATAAATGCGCGCTCAGTAACAGCATCTGCCCCCAATATTCGATGTAGACTGCACACAGGACAAAGATTACCCGCATAACCACACACACGCGTGCAAGTACACGCTCGCACACATACACACACACAGAACCATGCACACGCAGTCACGCGTACAATTACGCATACGCGGTAAGGCGCACATGGAGTAACTCACACAGCGACCCAGTGTAGCCTTCAGCAGACTGTTGGGGAAAGTGCTGTTAGCACGGCACACGAGGGGGAGTTGTGTCGCCAGCAGCACGCACACGCAGAGACAGCGAATGAGATCCCCTGTGTAGCGTTGAACAGACTGATGGGGCAAGTGCTGTTAGCGAGCACCTATGCAGGCTGCAACGGCAAACGAGGGGGTGGGTGGCCAGCACCACGCCCGGCCGCCTTTGTCTCCCCAGTGGCGATATTTACAGATCCCACTAGGTACTCTTGTGAGGCTGAGTCGACCTCGAGGAGGACCGGTTCAGATAATCGTCAGTGATGTTGGTGGCCATGAGCAGGAATCGAACTCGGGTCGCCGGGTACTTTGCGCACGACTACTCTCCCATTCCACGCCAGCCCGCACACACACACACACGTGCACACACACACACGTGCACACACACGCACGTGCACACACACACACGTGCACACGCACACACACGTGCACACACACACGTGCACACGCACACACGTGCACACGCACACACGTGCACACGCACACACGTGCACACGCACACACGTGCACACACACACACGTGCACACACGCACACACGTGCACACGCACACACACGTGCACACACACACACACGTGCACACACACACACACGTGCACACACGCACACACGTGCACACACACACACGTGCACACGCACACACGTGCACACACACGTGCACACACACACACGTGCACACACACACACGTGCACACGCACACACGTGCACACGCACACACGTGCACACACACGTGCACACACACACACACACACACGTGCACACACACACACGTGCACACACACACACGTGCACACGCACACACGTGCACACGCACACACGTGCACACACACACGTGCACACACACACACACGTGCACACACACATACGTGCACACGCACACACGTGCACACGCACACACGTGCACACGCACACACGTGCACGCGCACTACAATCATAATCAATCACACATCAAACGTTAACTCTCCTCGCCTCTCTCCTAACCTCCTCCTCCATCCTCTACCGCTCGCGGTGCCTTAACACTTGTTCATTATCAGCGTCAGCGAGCAGGCAAAGTCGTTCCGCTACCGGCAGCAGCAGCAGCAGCCGCAGCCAGTAGCAGCCAGTAGAAGCAGTAGCCCAAACAAAGTCCCATCACATTCGGTTTCACGTGGCTCAAACTGAAACTGCCACCATCACCCAAAGCACTCAGCTCCCCCCCCCTCCACCCAACAAACACCCCCCCCCTCTCCATCGGATGCTCTTTCCGGTCGTGTCGGTCCCTTGTAGCGGTCCCGCGCCACCGAGGAGCCTCGTGTCCCGCGTCCTCCCGTCTCGCTGGAGATGGGCAAGGTTATTGCCTTTGACACCGGCGAAATGGTTCCTAGCTGCGTGTGCGCGCGACTGTGACGGTAACGAATTTGCTAACCGAGTGCGGCGCGTGGGGGTGAGGTGAAGGGGGTCTGGATGATGGGATGTGGGGGGGGGGTGAAGGTAGGGGTTAGTGGGTGGAGAGGTGATGATGGAGGTAGGGTCGATATGCGGCGGTGTTGGGGTATTCAGACGGCCCGTACGTAGACTCCGCAGGTACCTTTGGACTAACGTCGAGACCAGAGACATGCGGTCAGGGGAGGCAGTGGAGGCAGAGCCTCGCCTGTCATTCTCCAATGAAAATAGCTGTTACGAAAAGTAATAAATAATAATAAAATAAATATTACGATTTTTCCACTGATCTGTGTTATGAATGTCATATCTGTACGATTACAAACATTTTTATGGTCAAAATCGCCAAATTTGCGGGGCTCCGCTGCAAATACAGGAAGAGACGAGAGGTGAGGCAGCAATGAGCTCAGCCTCCCCTCTGATTGCGCAACCCATCAGTAACTGGATGGAGCGCGGGCAATAAGCGCGTGTCTGTTATTATCTCAGTACGTCAACAATGTAATGTTTGTAGACCCCTTCATTTCATGTCCTCGCCTTCCATACTCCAGGTAAGTTATTTCACGTATGTGTATAAACATATTTTGGCTCGCTGGTCTCGTCATGAAACTGCAATGAAAAGCACCAGGGGAGGCAGCTATCACATCTGCCTCACTGAGGGGGGCGTGTCTAACACGCCCCCTCCGTGAGGCCACGCCCCCCTCCTTGAGGCCACGCCTCCCTCAGTGTGTGAATCTGGCTCTGACACTAGCCAGTGCCTCCCCATCCATTGACCTCACCGCACGTCACTGGTTGAGACATCCTAGATTTATAAAGACATCCCGAAGACTTACATTGGGACCCAGAGACTCACATAGTGACCTGTAGACTCTCATAGATGTATTCACTCACAAAGGGACTTGTAGACCCAATTAGGGACCTAAAAGCTCCCATATCGACCTTACTATATAGGCTCCCTTGGATAATCGTTGACTCGCATTGGGAGCGGCAGACTTAGAAAACCATGTACAGTACTCGCAGTTACTCATATATTAACTTATATATGTATAGACTCACGTGGAGACTCATATACTCACGGAGAATCATCAAGAGTCAACAGCTCGATTAAGATTATTGGTGTGTGTATGCATGTTGAACTTCTTTCGCACCGCACGAAGCCAACCGCGTGAATCAGAGGTGCGGTGAAAGGACAACCGAGTAAACACAGAGAGCAGTTCTCAAGAGGTGAGAATTGACGACGACGAATCACGATGCTGATGACCATGACGACAGCCCTGCTGATGCTGTTTCGGTCGCTGACGATGATGATAACGGCGATCATAATCACGATGATCAACGCATCTCATGAGGACGATCACATTGATGACGATGATGAGGATTACAAAAGGACATTCTGAAATGGGGTTAGCGTTATCCTTTCGTGCGCCGTGTCGCATACACGGGCCACTGATGTTTGGAACAGTAAACATTGCTCTAAGTCAATGTGCGGGGTGGGGGTTAGCCATTCAGTTGCGTTGGCTGTGCGCACGTGGATGGCTGTTGTGCAGCTGTTCGACCGACATCGTGGGCGATTTGCAGCGGTTGACCACGTGGCGTCCACGGATTGTTACGTTCCACATTCGTAGGAGCTGCGACTCTTCTTCTTTAAACTTCAACTTGTGCAGTGGAAGACTGGCAAACACCTTTTTTTATTTTGTTTTGTTTACCCGTGGAAGGGGAGCAGAGTGAGCGATGTAATGCGTGGGTGGGGGAGACAATGGGGAGGAGACAATGGGGGGGGGGAGACAATGGAGGGGAGAGGGAGACGAGATGACGAGAAGGAATGGCAGATGAGAGGTAAATTGCGCCACGGTGGCAAGATGTTACGACCTTACCTGGTGTGGAGGAGCTCGTGGGTTCGATCACGACCCTGACGCGTGCTGTATATTTGGAGTTGGCATGTTCTCCCCGTGGTCGCGTGGATTTTCATCTCGGTCCTCCGGTTGTCCCTACCACATTTAGAATCAAGATGCGTTTCGAGTATTTGGCTGGTATACATTTCCACATGATAAGCCCACTTCGACAAGCTATCATTTTGTATCTAGATCGATTCTGAAAAAGAGCAATATAGCTCACTGGTGCCTTACCTCGTAAAAAATATATAATAATACTAAAGGATGAAGAAGGAGCGGAGGAACGGGAGCACGGCGGGTCAGGGGAGATGAGGAAAGGGAAAAGAGAGAGGCTGCGTCAGGGCCTCCACGCTGCAGTGAGCGGTGTCTGTTTTCACAGTAGGTGGGGAGAGGGGAAGGGGTTCCGAGTGGGAGTGGCCAAGGACGTAGGTCACGTGCTTTATTTTGAGGCTTGAACTAATTTAGAAAGAGATGGAGATGTAATAGATGAGAGAGGAGGGATCCAGCGTGGTGAGTGGTGGGTGGATGTCCACGAACATAAGTCACGTGATTTACCGGAGGCTCGAGTTGATTTGGATGGCGATGTGGAGAAGACATCATCGCGTGTGCCATGACGCCCGAATGTGATGGTTCACCGCGGCGCGGGGTTTATGGGGAAACGAGAATCCCGGAAGGGGCTCAGTTTCCCACACCTCCGATAAGCATGGTTGGCTACGTACGATACGAAAGCAGTTCAACGTACATACGCACACATACATCACTGATGATGGGATCTTTTTTTTTGCAAAAGCGAATTGCCCCATGTTTGTTGTTGGGTGAGGTTGCTGGATGCCAACATTAATGACGAGAATTATGATATGTGTGTGCGTTGAAGAAGGCCCATTACGCGAAACGTTCTGTGATATATAATTTTCCCTATTAAGGCCACGCAGTATTGTTGACGAATGTGTAGAGTGCTTTTTATAGCTTTTTAAAGTTGTTGTTTTTTTTTAATTAATCATTGCACTGGTCACAAAGGCCTAAGTTTTACACTTGAAAAAGCTCACCATGCAACCGTCCCTCACTTTCCCTCTACCACCCAATTCTACCCCCCCCGTCATCCCCCCCCCCCGACCTTTCTTGCCTATTGCCCCCCCACCCCCCACCTCTCTCCACCGCAGCTTACATCGATGACGACGAATTTGCGGAAGACTGCGCGCACGAGGAGGAGTCCGGAGAGGCGAGTGAAGATGATCCTCGGGTCCCGAGTCCTTCCCAGAGACTGGAGCAGCAGCAGCAGCAGGAGCATGAACCTCTTTCACTCAGGGCGCTCACGCAGACAAGGGACAATCGATGTGTCAATGTCGACAGCAACGGGAACCACCACCGTGTCGAGGGCAGTGACGACGAGGGTGATAACAACAACGATGTTGGCGACGACGATGACGGCGGCGGTGGTGGCGACGCCGATGAAGGCATCAACAATCACAGCCACAACCACCACCACCACCAACATCACCACCGCCGCAGAAGCAGCAACAGCAGCAGCAACAGGATGAAGAACGGCATCACCAGCCAGCTGAACAACAGCGGCAGCAGCAACAATGCCAACGGTGGCAACGGCAATGGCATTGATGATGATGACGATGATGATGACGACGGCGGTGGTGGTGGCGGCGGTGAGATGGAGGAGGACGCGGAGGAGGAAGAGGAGGAGATGGCCGACGACGACGGCGACATTGACGACGATCGCGGGGTTGCGCTGGAGAAGGAAGCGACTGCAGCGGCGGCGGCTGACAGCGGAGTTGGGGCCCCCCCGGCCAAGTCGGCCCCCCACTTCTGCTCGGGCAACAACAGCAACGGGCAGACGGACTCGGACAAGGCGGGCAGAAGACGCGCGGCGCAACAAGAGGAGGAGGCGGCGGCGACGACGACGAATGCGGACGAGGAGGAGGAGGACAAGAAGAAAGATCCCGTGTCTCCATCTGTGATCGAGGACAGCCTCTCGCAGATGAAAGCTGCCTATGCCAACTTCCTCTCGAGCTCCTATTGGTCCACGGTGGGTAGCTTCAGCTACGCTCAGCCCAACGGTGCCAGCGGAGGCGGCGGCGCGGGCGCCAACTTCGACTGGCACCGCGCGGCCGTGGCCAAGAGCCTGCGGCAGGCGACGTCCCCCTCGACGCCGTCGCCGCTGTGCGCGCAGGACCAGCAGTGCGGCCTCTTCAGCTCCGTGCAGCTCTACCGCCAGAGCAGCAAGCTGTACAGCCCCGTGTTCACGGGCGCCAGCAAGTTCCGCTGCCGCGACTGCAGCGCCGCGTACGACCGCCTCGTCGACCTCACGGTGCACATGAGCGAGACGGGCCACTACCGCGACGAGAGCATGCGCGCGGCAAACGGAGGCGCCGACAGCTCGGGCAACCGGCAGGCGTGGTCCAAGCCACGCAAGCGCTCGCTCATGGAGATCGAGGGCAAGGAGGAGGCCCAGAAGGTGCTCCGCTGCCTTTGCTGTGGCCACGCGTTCGAGTCGCTGCAGGACCTCAGCGTGCACATGATCCGCACGAAGCACTACCAGAAGGTGCCCCTACGCGAGCCCATGGCGGCCCTCACCGCTAAGCCGTGCCACGCCGCCAAGAAGCGGCCGCACCTCGAGACGACGGCGGCGGTGGCGGCGGCCGCGGCGGCCGCGGCCGAGCGCGCGTGCAGCTCGCCCGAGTCGACGGTGAGTGACGCGGCCGCGACGCCGCCAGCCAATCAGCTGTCGGGCAATCACAAGGGACAGGTGGCGGGTTCCAACTGCCCGGCTCGCTCCTCCTCTACCACCGCCAACACCACCACCACCACCTCCTCCCATCACCACCATCACCAGAACGGCACCAGCTACTCGTGGCAGTTTGAGTCGCAGAAAGCGCACATCCTCAAGTGCATGGAGTGCGGCAGCTCACACGACACCCTGCAGCAGCTCACGGCTCACATGATGGCCACGGGCCACTTCATCAAGCTCACCGCGCCCGCCAACTCCTCCTCGTCCTCGTCGTCGTCGCTGCTGCTGGCGAGGAAAAGCAAGCAGGTGAACTTCGAGGCGCACGCGGCCGACGACAAGGTGCAGAGCGTGCACCTCGGAGCGACGAGCAAGCTCGGCGCCGTGCCTCCGCCGGCGGTCGCGGCGGTGAAGGTCGAGAGGCAGTCGGCGAGGGACGGTGATCGCCACGCGGGCGCCGAGGGCAAGAAGGCGACCGTCAAGGACAAGAAGAGCGAGCAACGGGACAAGCGGGAGACCTCGCCGGCTGAGAAGGGAGTGACGGCGCCGTCGCCCGATTTGCCCAAACACCAGGAGGCGGACCTGCCCTCCCAGTTTGACTACCTGAAGGAGGAGGACCTCTCCGAGAGCTCCAAGGAGGGAGGCCTGGACATCCTCAAGTCCCTGGAGCACACGGTGGCGTCCATCATCAGCAAGGCGCAGAACGGCAGCGGGAGCTGGGGCGGCTACCCGAGCATTCACGCCGCGTACCAGCTGCCGGGCCACGCGGCGCGGCCCGTGCACACGCCGAGCGTCACCCCGAGCAAGCTGGTCCTACGCGACGACCTCGAACTCCAGCAGCAGCATCACCATCATCACCATCGGCAGCAGCCGTCGCCGCCACCGCCGCGCTCCCACGTGGAGTCGTCGTCGTCGTCGCCTTCTTCGTCGGCGGCGACGACTCCATCGCCGCCCGCGTCGCCGCACGGTGCCAAGGTGCCGCTGCTCGTGCCGTCGCCGCCCGTGCAGCCGCTGCCGAGCAACGTGCGCGCCATGGAGGAGCTCGTGCGCAAGATGACGGAGAAGGTGAACTCGTCCTCCGCCACCTCCTCGTCCTCCTCCCCCTTCTCCGCCGCGTCGTCAACGCGGACGATGAGGGACGCCTCGGAGTCGAAGGGCGCGCCGCCGAGGACCGCCGTCGTCGCCGGGAAGCGCGAGGCCCGAGACGACAAGGGTCACGCGGCCAGGGGCGCCGAGCTCTTCGGTGGCCGCGATGTCAAGTGGGACCTCGGCCAGGAACTTCGGAGGAAGGCGAGCCACGAAGCGAGGAGGGGGGTGGGCGCCAGGGATACCCGCGAGAGGCACGCGCGTGAGGCGCAGCGGCTTGGCGGTGCCGGTGGCGGCGGCGGCGGCGGGGAGCGACTACGAGCTGTGAAGGTGGAGAGGACGATCGAGGTGAAGGACGAGGCGACGCGCGGGGCTTCTCCTCCGGCCGGCGTGGAGGCGAGCGCCGTGTGCTTGAAGGTGGAGGGCGCGCAGGGCATGGGCCGCAGGGACGGAAGCTGCGCAGCGGTGGCGGCGGCGACGGCTGTGGCGGCAGCGGCGGCGGAGGCGGTGGTGGCAGCCGCGGGTGGCGCGAACAAAACGTACGAAGCCCGGAATGGCAAGAGCATGGATGAGAAGCCATTCTCCTCCTCTTCCTCCTCCTCCTCGTCCTCCTGCACACCTCCCGGTTTCAGCAGCCTCTCCATCATCACTGAGCATCCGGGCGAGCCCTGTCTCGTGAACCCGCTGAGCGCGCTGCAGTCGGTCATGAACGCGCACCTCGGCAAAGCGGCCAAGCCTCTGTCGCCCGCGCTGCTCGACCCGCTTAGTAGGCTCCACCGCCTCGGCGGCGCCTCTCTCGACAGACCTCACTCGGCGGCGGCCACGGCGACGGCCCTCCCCGCGTCGCTCGGGCACGCCCGGCACGCCGACAGGGCCGCGGGCAGGGACGAGCGTGTGCCGGCCTTCGCGGCCCGCGGGGAGCCATCGAGCGACCAGCCCATGGACCTGACCAAGTCCAAACCGGCGTCGGCGGCCGCGGAGCGGTGCCGCGCGGGCGGCAGCGTCGCCGCGATGCCCCTGATGCTGGCGGCGTCGCCCGCCGGCGAGAACGCGCTCTCCGACATCTCGGACCTGGTGCGCAACCTCGCGGGGCGCCTCACGCCCAAGCCGCCCACCCCGTCGAGCACCACGTCGAGCGTGGCGGCCTCCGACAGGTCCGACGGCGGCGACGCCTGCGGAGGCACCCCAGACGAGGACGCGGCAGAGGCCGAGCGGGGCCCAATAGGAGGCGGGGCGGGGGGCTCGGCGGCCTCCGCGGCCGCGGCGGCGGCGGCGGCCGCCGACGTTTCGGGAAAGCAGCGTAAGGCCGGCCGCCAATCGGCGTGGAACCCGCGCCACCTCCTCCTGCTGCAGGCGCAGTTCGCCGCGAGCCTCCGACAGACCGCGGACGGCCGCTACGTCATCTCGGACCTCAGCCCGCAGGAGCGGCTGAACGTGGCGCGGGCCACGGGGCTATCGGCGAGCACCATAAGCCACTGGCTGGCCAACGTCAAGTACCAGCTGCGGCGCACGGGCGGCACGAAGTTCCTCAAGCACATGGACACGGGGCGGCCCGTGTTCTACTGCTGCGACTGCGCCATGCAGTTCCGCACGCCGCCCGCCTACGTTGGTCACGCCGAGGCGCACCTGGGCTTCGGTTTGCGCGACCTCAGCAAGGTGGCCGTGGTGGAGAGGACGGGCGTGGAGGGATTGGCGGTGGGTTCGCAGCAGGCCGTGTCTCCATCGCCGCCGCCGCCGCCGCCGCAATCGGTCGCGGCGGTAGCGGTGGCAGCGGTGGCAGCAACAGCAGCAGCAGCAGCCGCGCCTCGTGACGAGCCCGAGTGCGGAGCGCCGTGCCGGTGCCAGCTGTGCGGGAGAGCGTTCAGCAGCAGGCACGCGGTGAAGCTGCACCTCAGCAAGGCGCACTCCAAGTCCCCCGAGGACCACGTGATGTTTGTGAGCGACGTGGCTGCGGATCAGCCGGCGCCGCAACCGCAAGCTTAGGGCCTGGTAAGCAATGGCGATGATGACGATGGTGATGATGGCGAGGATGATGATGGTGAGGATGATGGTGATGATGTTGGTGAGGATGTTGAAGATGATGATGCCTCCACACACGGCGCAGATGAGTGAATGGGAGTGGGCGGTGAGGGGATGATGAGTGGTGTCCACTGGCTGAGGAATCTGCAGAGCGAACTCCACTCCTGGTTTTGCAGTCTCGGGTGATGGTGCGTGTGGCAGTGCATTGAGTTGAGAGACTGTGAACGCGATGGTAGTGGTGTCGTTATAAGCGCTGTTCCCGACGCATCCACAACACACACACACGCACGCGTGCACGCGCGGGCTTTCTTTCATCTTTTGTACGGCTGCTGCTGATGTAGGATGTCACGTGCAGGGGGTTAAGCTCAGACAAGCGCGACATGAGCAGCAGAGTTGTACCGCTGTGATGTCTCCTTCGTATTTGTGGATCGGGCATTGCAATATGCGCATTTACATTATACATATTCGCAGTAATTCCTCGATATACGAAGCAGATGCATTCCTGGAGCTTATCATGCACGTATGAACGTCGTAAACTGTATCTAGTAACGTATACTATTAGTTCTAGATATACTATTAGTACTATGTGGATGCGTTCCCAGCCTTCGTAACTTGCCATGTCATACTGTGAATAACGACAATTTATATCGAAAATAATATAATATTTTATATTGCACAGTGGGACCACTTTCGCCGATAAGACATCACCGGCGTGAGGGCCGCCACACATTTGAAACCATTGGGGGTTTGACAGCAGCACGACGATGAAGATGATGATGATGAGGGGTGTTCTCACTATTTGTGTACTGTCGGAGGCCGCACGTCACGCGGCAGCACTAAAGGTCACCAGCGGCCGTCAGTAGCCCACGAGCCATGCAATGAAGTCCATTGCCTTAATAGGTGCTCGACGGCAGCTCCAACGCAGGCACAGATACGTACACGCTTTACTCCCTGCGGTGCCACTAAAGCTCAACGCGTTCATCAAAAACACTGCACTCGAAGTAACAAAACTTATCCTTATTATAGGCGACGTTTCGGGAAATGGCCCTTCTTCATGGCACACATCATTGACACGGAACGTGTTGGATTTTTTTGCGGATGTTTTGTGGACTGTGCTTGTGCGCCACTGGCAACGCATCAGCATCACCAACATAACATGTTTAACAACAACAACACCAACACACAACAACACCAACAACAACAACACAACAACAACAAAAACAACAACAACGGATCATCACAGACGCGGCCAAACGTGGAGTCGAACCCAGGTCCGAATCTCACGGCTGCCGTCTCATCGCTCACAGCTCGGAGCGCTCAGTGACTCCCTCCCCACCACCCTGTGAAGTTCGGGACTCTCACCACGCCACAAAACCGGTCCTTCTCAAGGTCGACTCAGCCTCAAACGAGTCGCTGGTGCGACGTGTGAACATCGGGAGACAAAGGGACTCGGCCGGGCGTGGGTTCTACCCACCCAGCCCCCTCGTGTGCCGTGCCGGCCTTTCATAGGCGCTACTCGCTAACAGCACTTGCCCACAACAGTTTCTTAAGGCTATCGTGGTGGCGAAGGGGGGAATCTTTGTCTTTGTGCGGTGCAAGACCCACGCGGTTGATAGAAGCGCGCAATTGCACGTAAACACATTGCAGCCATTCATCACACAGCCCCCGCGCACAGCTCTGCTCCGTACACTTGTGAGTTGCTAGGACAATAAACGTGAGATCACATGGGCAATGTAAAATGCTCCTGCAGGCTGTAAAGCACTTATTTTCATATTGAATATTTTGTCCATGCCTATCATAAACAATTTAATACACATAATGCACGTGCTCTGTGTGTGTCTGTGTGCTCGCGCGTGTGTGCTCGTGTGCGTGTGTGTGTGGTGGGAGTTGGTGCTCGCTAACAACACTTGCCCCAACAGCCTGTTGAGGCTACACGCGGGATCGTTGTCTTTGTAGGGGAGGGGAGTGGTGGGGAGCGGTGGCGCAGTGGTTGTCGCGTACTGAACTCGGTCTTGGGAGTCCTCAGGTTAGCACCTGGTACGGTGCGTCAACATCGCCACTGGGGAGACAAAGGCGGTCGGGCGTGGTGCTAGCCACCCACCCCCTCGTGGGTCGGCTTTCATTGGTCTTACTCGCTTACAGCACTTGCCCCAAAAGTTTGTTTAGGCTACACCCGGGGTCATTGCCTTCTGGGGAACGGTGGTGCACTGCTTAGCGTACTGCGCTACGAACCCGACGACCCGAGTGTTTATTTGCGCCGGTGCTGAGTTCATCACGAATTCGCCAACCGACGCATTGACCAGCGTGTTGAAGTATGGTAAAAACAACAGCTAAAAATAACTATGACCGACAGCACAGCCTGTGGAGGCCTTCATTCAGCAGTGGATTGACAACGGGCCGCACATTGTTTATAATTACAATGTATGCACGTCAATAATATGCCAGTTAATAATGTTCGTGTATAATAATAATAATAACAACCATGATGGCAATGCCCTCTTTAGTTCACCCAGGGAAGAATCTCGCTCAGCAGGGTCTCAACACTCTTTATCAGGAGGATCCTCCTGTCACACACGAAAAAAAACCCCCACCTTTATTGAGAGTTTTGGGGCATCTCGTGAGCAGTCAACTGGAGGAGCCGGAGGGAACCCCAGCGACACGCACGCGTTGCACGAGAGGGGATAACACATTACAGGACTCAAAACTCCGCACAGATAGTATCCACAAATCCTTCCCTTTACCGGCAACTCCACCAGGCCACCTTCCTCACATTATTAAACGCGCTGGTGGAGACGGGGCTTGATTTTTTTTGTTTTAAAGACATTCAATTCGATGATGGATCGTTTTTTATGAGTGGAAGGTATCGCTTTGGTTGAGGGAGGGGGAAGGGAGATATTTGGGGGGTGGGGGAGGGAAGGGAGCCGGGGGGAGGAGCTGGGGGTTTTGTATTGTTGGGGGGAGGGGGATTGGGGGGTGGGACAATCCGGCATCCTTAACAATACCGAGCATGACCAAACAAAACACCACCGAGTGAGATGGAGAGAGAGAGAACGGATGAATGAATCGTAAGGTCTGCTCCCCCCCCCCCCCGGCCACTCTCACTACTACATATCTAACAAAGACAAAGAGCCCCCGTATAGCCTTCACATACTGTTGGGGCAAGTACTGTTAGCGAGCACATATGAAGGCAGGCACAGCACGCAATGAGGTAAGGTGGAGGGGGTGGCCAGCATCACGCCCGGCCGCCTTTGTCTCCCCAGGACGATGTTTACAAACCACACCAGCTACTCATTTGTGGTTAAGACTACCTAGGTGGGGCCCAGGACCGGTTCAGATAATATTATCTTATATTTATATCGGCACCCCCCCCCCATCTCACGCACCGCGATGGGGGGGCGGGGCAGGGCGAGGGTGGGTCTCTGCGTGTAGACGTCACTAAGCAGATGCACGCGGTGGTCAAATTCAATTGACGAACGCAAGCGTCCAACGGAGACGAGACGCAGACACAGAGGGCGCTTATCTTGTAAGCGAAACACCTCGGCTGCGTGTCGCTGTGTGTGTGTGTGGGTCCGTCTGCGTGTCTGTCGGCTCGGGGAGCGGTAGAGTAGCGGTTAGCGCTACGCTGCACTACGAACCTGGCGACCAGAGTTCGATTCCCGCTCACGGCAAACACCAGTGACGATTATCTGAAGCGCTCTTGGGCCTCCCCTAGGTCGACTCAGCCTCAAATGAGTACCCGGTGCGGTGTGTACACATCGCCACTGGGGAGACAAAGGCGGCCGGGCGTAGTGCTGCTCACCCACCTCCTCGCGTGCCGTGCCGGCCTTCATAGATGCTCGCTAACAGCACTTGCCCCAACAGTCTGTTCTGACTACACGGTGGATCTTTGTCGTTGCGTGTGTCCCCGTCTGCTTGTCTGTCAGCTCGTGTGCCTGTCTGCCTCGTGGAATGGTTTCTCTGTCTGTCTGTCTGTGTCTGGTACTCCGTCTGTCAGTCAGACAGCCTGCATGCACGCAACGCACGGCGGTCAGTCAGGCGGCCAGACAGAGAGATAGCCGTCTGTGTCACGCGCAAAAGACAAAGGTCCCCCGTCTAGCCTCGCGATCGCGACCCCTCCCATCCCCCTGTACCGTGGGGTCGCGCGGACGCACGCGCATGACCCCGTCGCTGCTTTCCCCCACGGCTCCGTTCAAAACTCCGCTCCGCGTCTTCCGCAGCGAGAGAGACAAACGCGATGCCCGCGGCGACCCAGGGCTGTTAACACCTTCCGCGGAGAAGAGGGGGCACAACGGGGGGTCCCTGACAGCTTTAACGAAGCTCCCCCCCCCCAGCTCTCCCTCACCACCACCACCACCCCTCCTCCTCCCCCGCCTTCCGACTCTCCCCGTCCGCTCACGCGCCGCTCTCTCGCCAGGATTAAATTTCACCCCCCCACCACCACCACCACCACCTATCTCCCCACTCCACCTCCCCCCACCTAACCGCCCCTCACCAACCACTACGCCTCTCTCACCCTCCCCAACCACAACACACGCACGCCCATTACCGCTACACGGCGCCTATAAAAATAACGGCGTTGACGAACGTGCAATTCGTCTAATTTACGGGCGAAGCTTGCGGGGAAGATACAAAAGATGAAAATCTTAAATGCGAGGGACTTGCTCGGGCTGGCTCGGAGGAGGGAATCGATGCGACTGGAGTGAGTTAATGAGCTACGGCCTCGGGGAGACGGAACGCGCTCCGCAGGGGAGCACGCACCCATGATGGAGATTTCGGAGCGAGGATTGTTTTGTTTTAATGTATTGTCATGATCGGACCCAGTTTTACAGCTGGCGGTGTGTGAGAGGAGGGGCGGGGTATGATGGGGGGAGAAAGGAGGGGTAGGGGGGAGATGCGTTTATTGTTTGCGAGATGGGAAGTCTGGTGGTGCTGGTGGTGATGGTGATTGTTTTACTGAAATCTCTGCTAGTATCTGGTCTGTACACATCTTTGTCTCTCTCTCTCTCTGAGTGTGCGGATGTTGAACTTTTTTCTGCGCCGCACGTTGACTATCGTGTGAATCGGAGGTGCGGGGGAAGGACAACATACTAAACACTAAAAAAGTCGTTCTCTCTGTTAGGTTGTTGACGCCTCTGTTTGTCAAATCCACTGCTGGATTATAATTGTATATACGTTTGCGGGTCTCTATATGAGCCCACGATGGGCTTCTCTCACTCTCTCTCGCTATCTGTCTCTTTCTCTGTGAGTCACTCGTGACTGGTTGAGAAGAGTCCACTCATTCAACAGCAAAATCCGTGTTAAACTGAGGTTGAATCCCGGATTCAAACCCGGGCTCTTCCAGCTGTCGTGAGGGGTGACTCCGTGTCAGTGCCGGACTAAGCTAGTGCGGGGCCTGTAGTATGATGTTATAAAGGGGCCCGAAATTAAAAAAAAAACACGTAAAAATTAAAACACCACTTTTTTTTACTTGCATAGTAAAGTAATTGTATTTTTTCATTTGCTATACAGCCAGATAATACGACAACTCGCTAACCTTAAACACCCAGTCGTTCATAAAAGTTGAAGGAGGTATAGTACTGTAGTAATAGAGCAAGTGCAGAATCACTGAACCGAAATTGATAGCTTGAAAGCATTTAGCGCGGGGCCCTTGAAAGTGCGGAGCCGGTAGCTACTATATATGTAGTAGCTACTACATATGTAGTAGCATAAGTACTGTAGCTACTTTGCTACTAAGATTATAATCCAGCACTGCTCGCTGTATACAATCATTGGCCGCTAAAGCCAGCCAGCCAGTCAGCGGCCTCTTCACGGCGAAATTAAATGAAGCAAACATAACGTTCAAGTTGGTTGTGTGTTTAACCAGGTGATTACTCAAGAGCCTCTTGTGCTGTTCGATCTTGGGGGTTGTTTTCTGGTCAAACACCGGTTGGTGAGACAAGGCTATCGAGAAGGCTGCTGTCGCTCTGCTGTAGGCAAATCGGTTTCCAAGACAATGCATATACAGTGAGGGAAAAAAAGTATTTGATCCCCTGCTGATTTTGTACGTTTGCCCACTGACAAAAAAATGATCAGTCCATAATTTTAATGGTAGGTTTATTTGAACAGTGAGAGACAGAATAACAACAGCAAACTCCAGAAAAACGCATGTCAAAAATGTTATAATGAGGGAAAAAGTATTTGACCCCCTCTCAATCAGAAAGATGTCTGGCTCCCAGGTGTCTTTTATACAGGTAACGAGTTGAGATTAGGAGCACACTCTTAAAGGGAGTGCTCCTAATCTCAGCTTGTTACCTGTATAAAAGACACCTGTCCACAGAAGCAATCAATCAGATTCCAAACTCTCCACCATGGCCAAGACCAAAGAGCTCTCCAAGGATGTCAGGGACAAGATTGTAGACCTACACAAGGCTGGAATGGGCTACAAGACCATTGCCAAGCAGCTTGGTGAGAAGGTGACAACAATTGGTGCGATTATTCCCAAATGGAAAAAACACAAAAGAACTGTCAATCTCCCTCGGCCTGGGGCTCCATGCAAGATCTCACCTCGTGGAGTTGCAATGATAATGAGAACGGTGAGGAATCAGCCCAGAACTACACGGTAAGATATTGTCAATGATCTCAAGGCAGCTGGGACCATAGTCACCAAGAAAACAATTGGTAACACACTACGCCGTGAAGGACTGAAATCCTGCAGCGCCCACAAGGTCCCCCTGCTCAAGAAATTACATATACATGCCCGTCTGAAGTTTGCCAGTGAACATCTGAATGATTCAGAGGACAACTGGGTGAAAGTGTTGTGGTCAGATGAGACCAAAATGGAGCTCTTTGGCATCAACTCAACTCGCCATGTTTGGAGGAGGAGGAATGCTGCCTATGACTCCAAGAAC